CTCCTATCCTGAGAAAGACAATGAGTTACCAGGAGGTGGTTGTCCTGAACCTGTATCATTTTTATACAACACCTTCCTTGCCCTCCAGGATTTTACATGGCAGTGGGTCCCAAAAGATGTTAGAACAGCAGACAGTCACAAAATAACAACAACAAAACAACAGTAAACCAGCTATAACGAAACCAGGGAGTGATCCAGGCAGTCAATCCTAGGGCTGCCAGGACAAGCTGCAACCCATGCTGCCTGGGTTTTTGAGGTCTTATACCTTCTCTGGAGTCTGTGTGAATTTTGCACTCTGAGCCCTATTTGTCCAAGCTTGTTTTTATATGAAACGAGAAGACGCCTTGGTCTGCCCCTGCCTCTGGCCTCAGCTGCAGCACCTCTGCAGCCAGGACTGCATGCCTTCTGGTCTGCACTTGGGAGAAGCACACATGACCTGAGATTGGCCCTTCCCACCAGGTCTGTCACGTACACCAAGTCCAGAGTACCTGGGGATGTTAGAACTGCCATGCTACATCCCTGAGCCTGGGAACCCTCTGAAGAATGGGAGAAATGCCTGGGGCAATGCCCAGCTGCTGGGCATTATGAAGAACAGCTCTCCACCCCATGACTGCCGTCAAGCCTTTATGGGAGAGGTAGGGCCTTCCTTGCCAAAGGCCCGAGCACCAGGGCAGGGTCACCATCTCCTACAGGGGTCTACACTGTTGGTCAGCAGTCATTTACACCAGTGAGCCACCATCAGTGTAAATTCACAGCTGGAGTACAAGAGAATTCTAGCACTTTTCTCTCTATTCCTGTCTGTCTGGTGGCCTCTGTCCAGCCTGGCATGTGGAGGGTGGCAAGAGAAATGGGGGACCAATCTCAGTAGTGTCCCTTCACCCCCTTGTGGCTCTGGGTAACATGCACTGCCCCCAAATTTCCAGGCTGCTTAGATCAGATGCAAGAGGCAAAGGGCCAGACACAGGCACCCCGCCCCCTCCCCCAAACACACAGAGCTATAGAGGTGCTGTCTCAGTGGCACCCCACATCTTATCCATTGCTTCAGCAGTGGGCCTTCCCAGCACTGGCCACGGTGTGGAAGGCAGCCGAAAGCCCAGGCAGGGCTCTTCATCACCCTTACATGAACAGGTCTCCTGCAGGCACACGGTCGGTGTCCTCAGAGACCTGCCATGCCCACTGTGTAGGGCAGGACCGTGTTTTTGCACTGCTCACAAGAGTATCCATGGCCTGCCGCCCTGACAGCAGAATTTGCCCTGCCAGCCATTGAACAGGATCCCTGGCCCCTGTGCTGGGGAAAGGGAGCCCCAAGAGTAGAACTGCACCAGCTGGAGGCTGAGGCTCCCAGGCTCCGTGCTTCCTTCCCAGAAAGCCGCAGAATGGCCAGCCTTGCTAATGTGAAGTTAGTTAACAAACCACAACCAGCCCAGCTGGCCTGGAAACGGGCCACCCTCACCACCTAGAAGGGTCCCTTCCCCCTTCACTGAGACCGCCGGAGCCACCCAGCAAGGTGGTCGTTGGTCGTTCCTTTCTACAAAAGATGTCTGGAGGTGGCTGGGGCGGGCTGCAGGCCGAGGAGCCATGGGGACCAAGACTCCTTGTTTAAAGCAGCAGGGTCTCACAGACCACCCTACTGGGTCTTAATTTTTGCCTTCCTTCCCATGTGTGAGCTGTATTCTCTATCATGAAGTGTTTGGGACACACACAAGAGCTTGTAAGTCCACAGTAAACATAGTGATGTAACCCATTGCCCAGCTTGATCATTTAGAGGAGAATTAGTGTCAGCCACATTTGTCCAGGAAAGGGATTGCCATGTATACTTCAAGCTTCCTCTGAAGACCCTCGAGTAACCATTCACAGCCACAGCTCACAAGCAGAAGCTAGGGTCAGTTTTGCCCTCCATGAGTGGCATGCTCATCTTGCCAGACTTTTCCTTTCTAGTGGAATCATATTGTGGCTGCGTGTGCGTCTGCCTCACGAGTGGTGAACTGAAGCATCTCTCCAGAGGCGTTTTTGGCCGGATTCCTCAATGCTGAGTTTCATATTCAGTTTAATTTATACACCTACTTAGTTAGGTTTATGATGAGACATAAAAAATCATACTCTTCTTTCCAATCTCACCAAGGAACCATTTTGTAGCTTAGTATTATTCAGATATTTCCTCTGTGTGTACATTTTTATTTTTTATTTATTTATTTATTTTTGGCTACTCCTGAGGTTTGAACTCAGAGCCTGGCCTCTGACCTTGAGCCTCTCTGTGCTCAAAGAAGGAGTTCTACCACTTGAGCCACAGCACCACTTCTGGCTTTTTTCTGTGTATGTGGTACTGAGGAATTGAACCCAGGGCTTCATGCATGCTAGGCAAGCACTCTACCACCAAGCCACATCCCCAGCCCTAGCACCCTACCACTTTGAGCCACAGCTCCACTTCCAGTGTTCTAGTGGTTAACTGGAGATAAGAATCCCATAATTTCCTGCTCCAGGGGGCTTTGAACCATGATCCTCAGATCTCATCCTCCTGAGTAGCTAGGATTACAGGCGTGAGCCACCGGCATTCGGCCTTAGTTGTTTTTTTTTTGTTTTGTTTTGTTTTGTGTTTTTTGGTGCCCGTCCTGAAGTTTGAACTCAGGGCCTGGGTGCTGTCCCAGAGATTTTTCTGTACAAGGCTAGCACTGTGCCACTTGCCATAGCCCCACTTACGGCTTTTTGGTGTTTACGTGGAGTTTAAGTCTCTCACAGACTTTCCTGCCCAGGCTGGCTTCAACCCACAATCCTCAGACCTCAGCCTCCTGAGTATCTAGGTGTCCTAGATCTAGGGGCCACCTGGCTCCTCCATATTTTGAAATAACTTGAATTACTGTTGATTTCAATATCTGTTTTCTGTTATGGTAGATGATGCTTCTCCTTCTCATCCCAAGTAGAGTTCAAGCTCGGGTGTCTTATATCAGTATTCACTTTATGATGTCTCCAAAGCCATTATTTACTCCTGAGATTAGTAATATACTTCATTTTCTTTCTGACATAACTTTTTTCCTGGAGTTAGTCATTACTTGTAAGTTTTTTTTCTTTTTTTGTTTGCATAGAATAATTTTTTTCCAGCTGATTCCAAGGTCTGCTACATGCTCACCATTCTTCTTTTCCCAGATGCTCTGTTATGTTGAGCAATCTGTCCGTACCCCCTTCATTTTTCCTGAAGCCACTGCCCCTTTATTTCTGATAGCCTCAGTAAGACACAACTGAATCTTCTCCTGGATTGCAGTTCCTTCTCCCTGCATGAGGTTATTTTCTTGTTTGGGTTTTTTTTTTGTTGTTGTGCACCTTCAACTTTGTCTTTGTCTTCTTTTCTGCTAAATGAAATATGTATTTCAGCATCTTCCTAAAATAAAGTTCATGGAAGAACAAGTTCCTAAGTTCTTCAATGTCTGAAGGTCTCTATTCTGCCCCCGAAGTTGGCAGGTAGTTTGATCTAGGTCATTTTCTCTTCACTTCAAAGACACTGCTTGATGTCCCACCTGGACTTGCTGGTTTCTACACCTGCTGGGTCCTGTTCTAACAACCAGTCCTCATTATTTTCCTTTACTCTTCAATTGTTCCAAAGGTCATCTGTTTATCTGGGTCCAGTCTCCACAATCGTTTGCTCGGCACCGGATGAGCCATTGCCATGGTTTTTCTCATCTTTTCCCCACTCTCAGAAGCCTCATTGCGTCACCTTGGAGTCCCTGCAGGACAGATTCTGGTAGGAGTGACGAGGAGAGGCCTCTACTCTGTGAGGCTCAGGGAGATGCTTTCCTAGGCAGTAGCCTTTCTCTGGGCCCACACCAAGTGTGGAGGAATCATGTGACACACTTCTCTGATGGGGGGACACACCCACTGTGGCCATGCTTCACAGTGATAGTGCCCTCTCCTCTACGAAGCCTATGTCGCTCTTCCCACCTGCATGAGCGTGCCAATGTGGGAGGGCAGTGGAGGCAACTCATGAGGTACAGTGGCCAAAATCCACCCAGCCTCCAGGGCCTCCCTGCCCACTGCCTTCTGATGCTGCCCTCTACATTCAGCAGCCAGGCCATCCTCTGAGTGGCATGGTGGATAGGCCTCCCTTACGTAGATGGAGCTGGTAGGAGATGGATACTGGTGATAACCCATCCTGACACCTGGGAGACGAGGCCAGTAGGCCTGGGATCCAGCCCTGACCCCATGTCCCAGACAACTAGAGCAACACTGAGCTGAGCCCTGTCTGAGGGCATCAGTGAGCTCTGGTGGATCATGTGGCCAGGAGTCATTCAGGATCGCTGGCCCACAGCCTAGGAATACATGTACGGTTTTGCCTCAGCCTGATGGACTGGATGTGGACCTAACAGCTAAGTGCCAGGCTGGGCCACCTCAGCAGCTGTGCTGAGTAAGGCAGGAAGGAGGCATCTTCTGTCAGCCTCTCTCTGCCCTGTCTCCATCGTCCTCCAGCGGTCCCACTGGAAGGTGTTGGGGATTCAAAGTGCCCAGATGGCAGAGGGGTCTTTCCGGGCTCCATGTTCCCTGTGCTATGTCACATAGCTGCCGGGCCTTGGCCTTCCCTGTCCCTGAGGGGTGGTGGGGAAGCTGGGGAGAAGCAAGGACTTTTGGCTAAAGGCCCCAAGCTTTGGTTCCCCACACCCTGGACCGCAGGTGCTGCTCCTGTCTTTGATACAGGTGGCCCCAAGACCAGAAAGGCAGGACATCTTGTGGGTCCATCCTGGTACCAGGATCCCTGTCTCTGGCTCACCAGTGTGGAACTGACCACCCAGGGCCTCCTAGGCGCTTGCCCATCCCACAGGCCTCTGAGGGCCAGGTCCGCCCTGCCCCAGAAGTGATCTCTGAGCCTGGGGCATTGTCTCCTCGTGGCTCAGACCTGGAGGGAGGGGCGTCTGCTTGGAAACAGCCATTCCCAGAGCCATGTCCCTGTCCCCGCCCAGGGTGCCGCGGCCATGCACACCCGCCTCACCACCCGTCCCGTCCCCCTCTCGTTGCAGGAAGTTCTACTACATCACGCTGCTGCGCGACCCCGTGTCGCGCTACCTGAGCGAGTGGCGGCACGTGCAGCGCGGGGCCACGTGGAAGACGTCGCTGCACATGTGCGACGGGCGCACGCCGACGCCCGAGGAGCTGCCGCCCTGCTACGAGGGCACCGACTGGTCGGGCTGCACGCTGCAGGAGTTCATGGACTGCCCCTACAACCTGGCCAACAACCGCCAGGTGCGCATGCTGGCCGACCTGAGCCTGGTGGGCTGCTACAACCTGTCCTTCGTGCCCGAGGCGCGGCGCGCGCAGCTGCTGCTGGACAGCGCCAAGAAGAACCTGCGCGGCATGGCCTTCTTCGGCCTCACCGAGTTCCAGCGCAAGACGCAGTACCTGTTCGAGCGGACGTTCCGCCTGCGCTTCATCCGGCCCTTCGTGCAGTACAACAGCACCCGCGCGGGCGGCGTGGAGGTGGACGCGGCCACCGTGCGGCGCATCGAGGAGCTCAACGACCTGGACGTGCAGCTCTACGACTACGCGCGCGACCTGTTCCAGCAGCGCTACCAGTTCACGCGGCAGCGAGAGCGGCGGGAGCAGCGGCTGCGGGGCCGCGAGCCGCGCCCGCCGCACCCGGGGCCACCGCCGGCGCCGCCTGCGCGCGAGGACGCCGACGACCCGGGCCGCGCGCCCACCGAGGACTACCTGAGCCACATCCTCGAGAAGTGGTAGCGGCGGGGGGTCTGCGAGGGGCGGGTAGGCGGCCCGGCGGACGCTCGGGACCCCGCGCGTGGTGGGCTCCCCCCGGGAAGGCGCGCAGGGCGATGCCCAGCTGCCAGAGTCTGGCTGTCCGTCCATCCGTGTACAGAGCGCGGTGCGTCAGCGGGAAGCCGCTAGACAGGAGCCTTAGACCCTGGTGCGGGGGTCCCGGGTCAGGGGTGGGGGGTCCCTGTCCTCACGCAAACTTGTGTAGGCTTGCGGAGGACACGGAGAGAGGACACGCAGGGCCAGAAGCGGGTCCTACGCCAACTATGCACGCACCCCGCGCTCCCCCAACCGACCACCTCCACACCAACGCCCACCCTTGGCCTCTTGAGGCCCCCGGGCCTGGGACATGATCTCTCCGGGGCGCCCCAGATCCCATCCACAGCTGCCTCAGGATCAGGAGCCACCCCAGCTGAAACTGTCCCTGGACAGCCCTCTCTCCTTTTGACCCACGGTCAAAACCCACGATCCGGCCTGGCTTTGGGGGTTGACCATCCAGGCAGACCTAGCTCAGATAGGGAGTAGGTACCAAGAATCCCTTCTAGCCCTGTTCTTAATGGTTCACACAGAGGTGTGGCTCTAGCACCCAATCACTGGGATATTAATTAACTCAAGGCCTCTACCACCCCTCCCACGGCCTCGGGTGTGAAAGTACAAGCGAGCTTCCATTGGCTGGAATGCAGACCACAGTCTGCCTGAGCCATACCTTGGGACCTTGGTGGTTCCAGATGGTTCCAGGGACCCCCACTGAGCCAGTGTTGATGGAGACTGTGTGGGACCCTCCCTGCATTTCCCCCGCCCCTCACAAAGACCGGCCAGGCCCTGCTCCCAGCAGCCCTACGGGCTGGCAGTGGTCTTACTAGAAGCCATGTATCCACTGAAAGCATTGCCCATGCCCTTCAAGCGGCCTAGACCACCCCACCACAGAGCAGCAGAGACCCTGGCTCTTCAGAGGCTGTGTGCTTGGAAGGTGAGGGCTGACCCCAAGGCAGGACTGGACCTCCCCTCCCTGGGAAAGGGCCATCTGTAACACACACAAAGCCTAGGTGTTGGCAGGTGCAGATGCCCTGGGGAGGTGGCTTAGTCCTTGTTTGTCTGGCATAGAGGCTCCACACTCAGGCTTCCTACACTGGCCACTGCACCGTGGGGTCCACAGGCAAGCTGGGCTCCGGACTGCCAGCATCCAGCCCAGGGCCACCTCTCTGGAGAGGGGTCACCCTGAGAAGGCAGGTGCCCAGGTGAACTAGAGGTGTGGCTCTTGGAAAAGGAGGTTGAAGTCCTTGTGGGGGGATTCTCTCCAAGGCTCATCTTCAGGTCGCCACTCCCAGCAGCAGGGTGGGTTGTATCTGTGGGACTCAACACAGGCCATGTGGGGTTCTGAGGCCTCCTGTCAGGAAGTGGGCACTTGGTCTCAGGTAGCCCTGTCTTGTGGGCTTCTGGTATACACAGCCAGAGGTAGGATGTTTTGTACATACTGGAATGTGATCTGACATGCCCCACCATCCCAACTCATGGAAGCACGGGTCTCTCCTCAGTCGCTGCTGCAATTGGAAAATGATCTTGCCTCAGGCCAGACCCGTGCCGGGGTCCCTCAGCCCCTAGGCTGTCCAGCCCAGCTCTCCGCTCAGGCCACCTGCTCTGGGGCAAGTTTCCCTGTACCCACAACATCTCCTCAGAGATGCTGTCAAAGGGTAGGGTGCCCCCCCCCCCCCGGCTGTGAGGAGCCCTCCCTAGTGCTGAGAGGACAGAGGCAAACAGAAGGCCGACAGTCTGGTCACCAGGCACCCTGTGGACCTGCAGACGGCCCTCCTGGAGGAAGAAGTCAGGGCAGCAGGACAGCTGTCCAGGCAGCAAGTCTGTGAACCTTTTGGGAACTGGAACTGTTTAACTTGAACCCAGGAGCATTTAAAGCTTTATTTATTTATAGCTTCTTATTAAAAAAAAAAGTGTTGGGAAGAAATTTTTTGGTTACAAAAATGAATCGATGATGACATAGCCAGTCATAATCACCTAATTGTTTTTGTTTAGGTCAAGAATGAATGTTAGCAGATGAAATAAACCCTGGAAAGGACTCTGTGTGTTGTGGTGTGTAGTGGTGTCCAAGTCCTTGCATGGGACAGTGGCAGCCTGCCCTGCAAGATTCTCAAAACAGTGTCCTAAGCTGGGCACCTGTGGCTCATGCTTGTAATCCTAGTTATTCAGGAGGCTGAGATCTGAGGCTCAAGATTCAAAGCCAACTTGGGCAAAAAAATCTAGGACTCATAATTTCCAAATAGCCAGCAAAAAGCTGGAAGTGGTGCTGTGGCTCAGCTGGTAACACACCAGTATCCTGGGCACAGGCCGAGGCATAGAGCCACATCCTGGGCACATGCCTGAGAGGGTGGAGACACTTCCATGTGTGAATGGTTCACCAGGGCGGAGGGCCCAGTGGGCCCACCCTGTTACCCTGCAGAGGTAAGTCTGTCAGAATACTTCGTGACAGCACTGAAGGCGGAAGCAGGCTGAGCAGGGTATGAGCAGCAGGAATATTGAGGGCCGTCACCGCATCTGTAGTGATCTCTCACATTTAATTTGGAGAGATCTCAAATGACGTGGTAGAACAGCTCATAGACATCTGCTCAGGGGCTCAGTGCTGTCCCTGTTCTCTTGCCAAATACTTTTTTCCACCTATTGGATGAGTTACAAAGAAAGGAGCTTCATTTGGCTCATGATCCTAGTCCGAAGTCCAGAGGCCTCATCTTGCTGGCACCGCCCTTCAGCCTCAAGGCACAGGGCATCACGTGGTAAAAGGTGGAGCTGCATATGTACAGGCATGAGTTCTCTATTTTCTAACAGAGCCACAAGGATTCAGTCATGGGCACTCCCCTAGGGCAATCCCGAATCCTTCTCCCCTCCAAACGCCAGTCAGACTCACTTTCCTCCCAGTCAGGCTTAAACTCCAACGTGAGCCTTGGGGCCACACCAGCCAGGCTCAGACCCTAGCCAGTTCTTAGCCCACATTTACCTGGTATTTTACTCTGTGCTTAAACTTGCCATCTGTCTACTACACAAGTCACCTGCGCACTTACCTATTCCTGACATTTGGAAGTAAGTTGTGGCTATCAGAATATCTCATATTCATCTCCTGAGGATAACATTCTGCTACATAGCTCAGGTCCAAAATAATACCAGCACCCTATTACTAATACACAATGTATGTCAGGTTTTTCCCTAGTCTCAACGGTACACTTCAAAAATCTCTTGCTATGCAGGACTGCACACTGCTTCCTGCTCCTGTCCTCTAACCAAAGCCATGCATCCTCCTGGGTTTTGCATTTTTCAGCATTGTTTTTTTGCTTTTAGCCAACATAAGCCAGCTGTCCCTTAAAAGTTCTGCACACACCTGTTTCCTTGTGATCATGACCAGATTCATCAGCCATCTTGGATTCCAGTGCCACACCTGGGAAGGTGCCTGAGGCCTCGTCTGTAGGGTTTGGGCTCTGTGGAAGGAGCAGGGAAAAAGCCCTGCTTCCTCCTCCTGCTGTCTGTGGAGGAGGAGGACTGCCAGCAGGGAGCCCAGTCTGGTTACCTGGGCAGAGGTGAACACCTGCTGCTGACATGGGCTTTAGCCTTCAACCCCTAGCTCAGTCACAAATATCTTTATTTGGTTTGGTCTGGGGGCGCGGGGCAATGCTGGGAACAGAACTTGAGGCATAGACACATCGCTTGAGCCATAGCTCCAGCTCTTTAATTTCACTTGCTTTTTAGACCAGGTCTACTTGGTGTCATCACCAGCCTCAGACCTCAATCCTCCACATTTCACCCCCACCCCTCCCAGAGTAACAGATGACAAGCATGTGCCTGCCCATTACTGAGCAAATGGGTCCATCTAAAGGAGGAACAGCAAGAGCCTTAAGAGGAAAAGCCCATGGGCTGCGAAGGTGGCTCAGTGGTAGAGTGCTTGCCTTGCATGCATGAGGCCCTGGGTTCGATTCCTCAGCACCACATATGCAGAAAAGGCAGGAAGTGGCACTGTGGCTCAAGTGGTAGAGCGCTAGCCTTGAGCTGAACTGCTGCTGAGGGGCAGTACCCAGGCCCAGAGTTCAGGCCCCTTGACCAAGAGAAAAAAAGAAGAGGAAAAGCCTTAGGAAGATCTCCGAGTTCCCCTCAGCTGCACACATACCTCATTCAGAAGTCCCTTGGGAATCCTATGGAACAGCCCTCAGCCTGACTACACCCTCAGCCCCAGAGGCAAAGGTCCTCCATTTTGCTAAATGTATTCAACTCTTTAGGGCCAGTATTGTGATCAAAGGCAAAAGCTAGCCTGAAATACCTCCCTCAACTGGGGAGCTCCATATTTCTCCTAATGTTTATGAAGTTGAGGGCCACTTCCCAGTCTGCCTGAGCCAGACCCATGCCAGCATTCTCCCTGTCACCCTCATAGCTGCGTCCTATCACTGTCACACCAGTGTCCTCACTGCCACCCTCACACTAATGTTCTGTCTGTCCTTCATAACTCATCTGGTGCACCATAACAGGTGACAGCATCCCAGCCCCCCACCCAGCCAGGCCTTTACCTCAGGAGCTGGGGTCCTGGAGAGCCAGAAGAAGGGTCCCAGAGGACTTGACTGACACCCAGACCTGTCCTACCCACCCTTCATCCAGAGCCTGCTCATCCCACACAGCTCGATGTCCCCCTGATGGGTGACAGACATAGATTTTCCCTCCCACTGCACTGAGCTCCCTAACCAAAGCAGTCCTTTCCTCTCAGGGAACATGGGACCAGGGCACCCCCACATGAGCAGTGACAGGCAGCTCTGCCCTTCCCTACTCCCAGGCAGGCTGGGCCACCTGGGTGGCCTGTCCCTCTGGCGCTGCTCTGGGCCCCCACCTCAGCCCACCTTCCTGGCTGGTTGTGTGCAGGGAGGCCTACCTTACCTACAGTCCTAGCTCTGCCAGGCCCCGGCCAGCTCTCTAGGTTCAAGTACTGCCTACCTCTCAGCTTCCTCCACTCAAGCACTTAGCCCCAAGCCCAGGCCATGGACACGGGTCTCAGCTTCCAGTCTCTACCCCCACCCACCCCACCCCACAATAGCTTTAGTTCCACATCCTGCTGACCCTTCTTTGCCTCCTAAGAACCATGTGTCTCAGTGTGATAGGCAGTCTGGAGATTGAAAGACTCTTCTTTCCTGAACAACAGAAAAGCCATGCATTCAAGACCCAGAGACCGAGACTAGGGAGTTGGCTCCGAGCTAGGTCCGGCTCAGTGGCCTTCTTTGTCCCCGTGGTGCCACCCTGCCCCCAGAGGCTCCATCAGCCAGCCCATGGAGCGCCAGCCAGTCTGCTCCTAATAGTGGAACCCACAGCTTGGCACTTGGTGGTCTCTTCTCCAGAGAGTGAATGTGGAGCCCAAAGCCAGGAGCAGGAAGAGCTCAGAGTGGCCCTGGCTCCGTCAAGGACTTCCAGAAGGGAAAAATGGAGAAAAGGAAGGAAGGAATAACATGGTCCAAAAAGAAATGTGCTCATTACCTGTGTAACTGTAACCCCTCTGTACATCAGTTTTATAATAATTTTTTTAAAAAGGAGGCCAATGAAGACTTCTCACAATCAACACATTCTTGTCTGGGAAGCAGCTTGGAACCAGGCTGAGCCTGCATTCAGACCCCTGAGTGCGCTTTCAGCTCGCTTGTTCAGCTATTTATCCCTGATGGTTGCCCCCCCCCCCCGCTTCCTTAATAGTTGAGCTTCAGTGTGTCTGTGGGAAGACAGACAACCAAGATGGAAACTCTACTTCCCAGCACCTTCTGAAATGAGACATGGCTGCATCTCCACCCTCTGACCAACAAGCACACACAAAATGGTTCATGTACCTCAAGGAAACAATCTTGGAAGAGGAGCAGCAAGTCCTCTGCTTTTCCTACTACCTGTCAGACACCAATGGCTCGCCTCTGTAATCCTACCTAGTTAGGAGTCTGAAATCTGAGGAGACTGTAGTTCAAAACCAGCCCAGGCAGACACATCTGAGAGATTCTTATCCCCAGTTACCCAGCAAAAAGCCAGAAATGGGTATATGACTCAACTGGAGGAACTCTAGCCTTGAGCAACTGTTTCATCACCCATATCCTGAGCTCAACCCCTAGTACCAGACAAAAATAAAAGATCAGCCTACCAGGAATATTTAAGAATCATAAATATGTATACAGCAGACAAGAGTCTCAAAACACATCAACTTAAACCTAGGCTCAGAGTTGGGCACTGGGATTCATATGTGTAATTCCAGTCACTTGGGAGAATAAGATCAGCAGGATTGTGATTCCAGGACAACATGGACGAAAAAAAATCTGCAAGAATCCCTCTTTATTGAAGAAGCCGGGTGTGGTGACATTCACCTGTCATCTCAGCTATGATGGGAAGTCTGAGCATGTGCCTAGACCCCGCAGGGCACTGGTGGCTCACACCTAGCTACTCAGGAGGCTGAGATCTGAGGATCATGGTTCAAAGCCAGCCTGGGCAAGAAAGCCTGTGACACTTATCTCCAATAAACCATCAGAAAACCGGAAGTGGCACTGTGTCTCAAGTGGTAGAGCAGTGCTAGCCTTGAGCTGAAGAGCTGAGGGACAATTCCCAGGCCCAGAGTTCAAGCCCCATGACTGACAAAAACAAGCAAAAAGCAAGACGCTAGCTCAAAAATAATGTGTGAGGGGTTGAGGGACTTATCTCAGTGGAAGAGCACTTGCCAAGCAAGCACAAGGCTCTCAGTTCAGTCCTCAGCTCTGAAAAAGTAAAAGTAATGAGTAAAATCAGAATATACAAGGAGTTCAAGAAACTAACCCTCTCCCTGCCAAAATCAATAATAATGGGCAAAGAAATGAAATAGAGACTTCTTAGAAGTAAGAATGGCCAATAAACACATGAGGAAATGCTCAACATCCTGAGCAATATAGGAAATGTAAATCAAATCTTTGAAGGAGTCTTCCAACAAGGAAAAGTTCAGGTCCTGGCTGAATTCTTTAAGATTTTTGTTTGTTTTTGTTTGTTTGTTACTGGTCTTGGGGCTTGAACTCAGAGTCTGTGTACTGTCCCTGGTTTTTTG